ACACACACACACACACACACACACACACACACACACACACACACACACACACACACACACACACTGTCTAATCAGTCCATCTGTGCTCCTAATAAAACCCATGCTTTGAGCCTCTTCCATTTTATTGAAACAAGAAATCGACCAATGAAATGACCATTTCCATACCTTCCCATGAWATTTACTTTTGATTTAACCAGAGGTATATAAAGTACGTTTACACACGTTTTAATAAATGAATTTACATAATCAAGTTATGTCAACTGGTTCCATTAAACTGAGTTGAAAATGAGGTGAACCAGCCGACATAATATTTTTGRTTGATATCTTCATCCCTTTGGGTGAGTGTGATTACATAACATCTCAGTGTCTTTATTATCRTTTCCTCTTGCTCTATAAACACTTACATGTTGTGATTTTCTGTGTGTAGGCCGTAGATTTAGCCACTTTCATCCAGACGAAAAAGGACATGGGTTGCAGGGCCAACCAGGTGCAGACCGTGGAGGAAGGGGTCAACTCTCAGGGGCATGATGCTCAGCAATTCTGGACCATCCTGAGTGGACAGATGACCTATCAATGTAAAAGCTGTGACTTTGAACTGTGTGTGTTTTGAAACATCTGGAGATGGATTTATCTTATTTATTTATCCATAGCTGCGGGTCCATCTGAAGAGGATGAGCGGTTTGAGAACAGTATTGTGGAAACCAACTGTATCTTCAGACTGGTGGACGATAAACTGGTTCCTGATGATGACGAGTGGGGGAAGATTCCTCGCACCTCCCTGYTAGCATCCAAGGAGGTGAGGGACCCTTTGTAGACTCGTTATTAACGCCAGAGCACAGCGCTCATGTGAATCGACAAAAAAAGTCTTTGGTGCTTTTTCAGCTCTGGTCAGAATTGATATAAAAAAAGGCTGTGCTCGAGTGGGAAGGCTAATTTTGGCAAGCAGCTTTCTGAGCTGTGAGAATAAGTGCAAAGCAAATAACCTTAAAACCACATTTTATTCATCCTTCTCATCAAGCAGACTYTGAAGCTGACAGGTGCACCAGCCTGACAATGAAAAAAAAAATACCATTAAATTTGTTGAATAATCAAAAATGATAAACATTTGTTTAAAAAATGRCCTTTTTTGGTTCTGTCTTTTTCGTTAAACCTAAAGTTAGTTCAGAGCAAGTGACATCCTGAATGAGGTCTTGTATCAAGCAGTTTTTTTTAAATCCACTAATTTAGGTGTCTGTCAGTCCGTTTTCTGCCGCTTATCTGGGGTTGGGTGTCGGGGGCAGCAGTAGAGAGACCCAGACTTCCCTCTCCCCAGCCACTTGGACCAACTCATCCGGGGGAATCCCAAGGCGTTCCCAGGCCAGCCGAGAAACATATTCCCTCCAGCGTGTCCTGAGTCTTCCTCGGGGCCTCCTCCCAGTGGGACGTGCCTGGAACACCTCACCAGGGAGGCGTCCAGGAGGCATCCTTACCAGATGCTCGAGCCATCTCAACTGGCTCCTCTCGACGTGGAGGAGCAGCAGCTCTACTCTGAGTCCCTCCTGGATGACTGAGCTTCTCACCCTATCTCTAAGGGAGAGCCCAGACACCCTGCGAAGGAAACTCATTTCAGCTGCTTGGATCTGTGATCTCGTTCTTTCGGTCACTACCCAAAGCTCGTGACCATAGATGAGGGTAGGAACGTAGACCGACTGGTAAACCGAGAGCTTCGCCTTCTGGCTCAGCTCCCACCTCACTACGACAGACCGGTACAACGCCCACTTCACTGCAGACGCTGCGCCAATCCGCCTGTCGATCTCCCGCTCCGTTCTTCGCTCATTCGTGAACAAGACCCATAGAACTCCTCCACTTGGGGCAGCGACCCGGAGAAGGCACCCTACTGTTTGCCGGCTCAAGACCATGGTCTCGGATTTGGAGGCACTGATTGCTCTAATTTAGGTGTAAGAAATTATTTTAAAAGCAAAGCAACAATTCATAAATGATACAAAAAGTTTAAATACTAAAAACAGAATTTGATAGTGAACATTTCCCAAACATKAGCACGAATAGATCTGCTCTGTGTTTCCGACTGGCCTTAATATGTTGCTTAGTAACTACAGGTGTCGTGATGAACACCTCCTACGTCCGTCTGAGTGCCGCTGCTGAAAACATGAGAAGAGTTCACGAGTGTTGAGGCTGGTGCCAAAATGTTTTACTGCAGCCACAAACATTTTCTGAACATTTATGATAAAAAGTTTCTTAGAAATGCTTTCATTTGCTTTACCTTTATGTGTTTCTGCACCCTCGCAGAATACATTTAATCAGGTCAGCAAACGTTGCAATGTAAACAGACGAGTCAGGTTTGTGTGGTGTTYATGAGAGCACGTCGTTTTGTTCAGCGCCTGTGTTGTCTGCCTGCTGCAGGTGTTGGTGTTTGACTTCGGCAGCGAGGTGTACGTGTGGCACGGTAAAGAGGTGACTCTAGCACAAAGGAAGGTGGCCTTTCAGCTCGCCAAGCACCTGTGGAATGGGACGTTTGACTACACCTGCTGCGACGTCAACCCGCTGGACCCGGGAGGCTGCAACGCACTCATACCCAGGTTTTTCTTTCATTCTTTCATGTTTGACGTCACAGCTTAAAACACTTAGAAAGCTTAATTTATTTTTTCTGTTTGCYGTGTTTCTGCTCACAGGAAAGGCCAGGGTCGTCCTGACTGGGCCATATTTGGCAGACTGACGGAGCACAATGAGACAATTTTGTTTAAGGAGAAGTTTATGGACTGGACTGAAGTGAAGTCGCCCACCTTGAAGGAAGCTGGAGAGATTATACCTGAACTGAAGGTAAAAATCTGGCAGATTTCAAGTATGGCACAGTATGAGAGCCTATAAGATTATAGCGCAACCTCCGGTTGCTACATCCTTGGTGCAGGAGGCTATATTTATTCATAAGCCATGATAGGCCGGTACCCCTAACTTAGCAGCTGGCCCCGGTAACTGAGAGGCCATCAATGGCAAATGAAAAGGAGACTATGCATTTGTGTCAGCATTGGAGAGGCTAGTGACTAGTATGGATAAGCTGGGGTTAGCATTGAAGAGGCTAGCGACTAGCATAGATAATCTGGGGTTAGCATTGAAGAGGCTAGCGACAAGCATGCCTAGGCTATAGTGACTCACTGGATTGCCAACTCCCTCCGCTGTCCAATGTCATGGATAGGCTTGTGTTAGCATTGATCCATGCTATTCGCTAGCTTCTATGAGATGCTAAATGAATAGTCTCCTTCTCATTTTCCAGCRTGGGCTTCTCAGTTATCGGGGCCAGCTGCTATCATTAATCAGATCAATAGATGGCTTAGGARTAGATATAGCCTCCTGCTACAAAGATATAGCAACTGCTAGTTGCTCAGTAGTCTTAATTTTGACCCTCATACCACGCCATATTTCAGATCTAAGAGCACATATTTCATTACATTTTGAATCCTACGTGCAGTCTTCGTCTCAGGAGGCTCCCAGACGTGAGTGTCGGCCTTACAATGCCTCGCTGATGCTGCCCGTCCTCCAGTCGCCCGTGTCCACCATTTTGGACGGGGTGAACGTCGGCCGTGGCCACGGCCCGGTGGAGACCGAGGACCACATGAGGCTCCAGGAGATCAGCACGGCGTCTGTGGACGTTTGGCACATCCTGGAGTTTGACTACAGCCGTCTGCCGCGGCAGAGCATCGGCCAGTTCCACGAGGGCGACGCCTACGTGGTCAAGTGGAAGTTCATGGTTAGCACTTCCGGTGCGTTCGAAGCCAAGCCCCGCTTAACTGTTCTCTGTGGGTTTTTCCTTTTTCAGTATAAATTACAGAACTCTGTAACTGGTGGCGCTGTCTTGTGTCTCAGTGGGCCGCAGGCAGAACCCCGAGGCGAGAAGTAGCGGGCCTGGGAAGGAGAAGTGCTGCTATTTCTTCTGGCAGGGCCGACACTCCACCGTCAGTGAGAAAGGAACATCAGCGCTGATGACCATGGAGCTGGACGAGGAGAGAGGCACTCAGGTACAACAGACAGATTTTTTTGTTTAATTCTGGGAAGTAATTTCCCTCATTTGCTATTAGATAAACATCTCGATTTAACGTTCAGTCTACGTTCCTATCCTCATCTATGGTCACAAGCTTTGGGTAGTGACCAAAAGAACAAAATCAAGGATACAAGCGGCCATAATGAGTTTCCTCCGCAGGGTGTCTGGGCYCTGCCTTAGAGATAGGGTGAGAACTGTCATGATTACAATGAAAGATGGTGTAATATATGATGATTCCTGTGTTTCAGGTCCAGGTGCAGCAGGGGAAAGAGCTGCCGTGTTTCCTGCAGTGCTTCAACGGGGGGATGATCATCCATGCGGGCAAGAGGGAGGAGGAGGAGGAGAACACTCAGAGTAAACATTTTCACACGAATCCCTGTTATTCTGCTCGTTCATTAGAGCTCAGAGYGACAGTTTTCTCTTCACAAGACATGTAATAGTCAATGTAAAGTGTTTAAATAAGAATAAGATTTTGTATATTCTGTACTGAAAAACCTAAATAAATCATATGACTGAAGACATTTTGACTTCCTGTTTGACCCTTGTGTCTGGTCTCAGGTGAGTGGCGTCTGTACTGCGTGCGGGGCGAGGTGCCGGCGGAGGGCCACCTGCTGGAGGTGGCRTGTCACTGCAGCAGCCTGCGCTCCCGAGCCTCCATGATCCTCCTCAACATCCACAAAGCTCTCATCTACCTGTGGAACGGCTGCAAGTCGCAGCTGCACACTCGCAGCGTGGGCAGCAYGGCCGCGCTGAAGATCAAAGAACTGTGAGGCGTTCTCGTTGAAGGAAGCGTCGAGCTGCTGAGGSGGATCCTGGATCTCTAACTTTGCGTGTTTCTTTCTGTTTTCAGGTGTCCCCTGGAGGCAGGCCTTCACAGCAGCAGCAAAGTGACCATCCACGAGTGCGACGAAGGAGTCGAGCCGCCGGGTTTCTGGGAGGCTCTCGGGAGGAAAGACAGGAAAGCTTATGACTGCATGCTGCAAGGTAGGCTTCACCTGGAATATATCTACAACCCTAATGCTGCGTTCACACCAAACGTGATTTCAGCATCAGGAGCAGCAGGTTTACATGCAAAGTCTATGGTGGACGCGCTTCAATCAGCGTYGGGAAGKGCTGCGGCGCCTCAAGCGCGATTAGAGCAGCGTGATTTGAAAGATTTGAACGATCTGAGCGTTCGACGTGCTTGATGCACAAATCGCTGAAGTTAGAAAATCTGAACTTTTGCAGCTCGTCGCGCCGCGTCAACCAATCAGAGAGACTCCACTGTGTGATGTAGGGACATATTTCCCGACGGGACAGTTTACTGAATGATGTCCACTAACCTGAAACAGATGGAGAGGAGCTCTTTAGCTGAAATCGAGTGCCTGCAGTCGGTGTCCTGACAAAGATATCCTCACCAATGCGTGGCAGCGGCTCATCAGACTGGACTCGGGACAAAAATAGTCCTGAAAGYGAGCTGTGAGCCTCTCCCGCAGCTCCTGGGTGATGAAACTCAGAATGTCTCTGAATTATCTGGTGAACTGTCCTGATGCATCTCAGTAATCCAGGTAAAAAATCAAAAAGAAAAAAACTGTATAGGTCTTCTGGACAGGTTCTTCTCTAATGAAACGTTTCGTCTCTCCTCCAGGAGACTTCTTCAGTCTGAGAGTTTCAGGCAAAATTCAGGCTTTTAAGCCCTGCCTCCATGTGACTGATACTCACATCACATGGCTATCGTTGACACCTAATTAACACCTATTGTTAACAGGGGGTGGAGTGATACTGGCAATGGCAGCGCTGTAGGAGGGGGACAACTGAAAACGGAGGCCTCCACCTCTGTTTAATGATGGACGGTCTTTCTTCACAAAAATGGCTTCTTTTACTCCTCTCTGGTGAATTAATTATGAATTAATTATTTGATGAGCGTGACATGCTCTTGCTCTCTGTAAATAAAGCAAAGCCACTTCCTCGTCCGACATTAAACAGAGCCCGACAGAGGAGGGAGGGGCGGGGAGGCTGTTGCCGTGCAGCGCTTCAAGAGCTGACCTGCGTCTGACCTCAAAGTGCACAAGCGTCCAACTTGAAGCGTTGGATGCGATTTTGAAGCTGAAATCGCGTTCGGTGTGAACGCAGCATAATACCAGAGSAGTTAAAACACGTTGTGTAAAACATAAATGATTCTTTGCAAATATTTTTCAACCTATATTCAATTGACTACACTACAAATACAAGATATTTTATATTCAAATGGATAAACTTTTTTTTTTTTTGCAAAAGCAAACATTGTGAGCTTCAGTCAAAAAGGAGCACTGCATTAAAAATCAAATGGAAACCACCAAGTGTCCTTTAGTCCGACAAGTCCAAATTGGACGTTGTGTCCTAACTTCATTGGAACTGGTGTTGCATTTGCACTTGTGTTTTCAACTAAACTGGTTAGAACCTCTCCTGCTTCATGTCATTAGATCCGGGTAAATTCAACTTCACTCCGCGGCTCTTCCTGCTGACCAGCTCATCTGGAGACTTTGTGGCAACAGAGTTCTTCCACCTGGCCAGAGCGCCAGATTTGGTCAGCTCTCTGCCTTTCCTGCAGGAAGATCTTTACAACGCTCCGCAGCCCGGTGAGGCCCGAACACAGACACCATCGCTTCTTTATTTCATGGTGKTTTTTTTTACAAACAACAAGAACATTGCTTTAGTTGTGAGCAAAACAACGCCCCTTGTATTTTGTTTAAATATGTTTATGCTAATCCTCTTTAAGTTTTGACACTGGTGCCAAAGAAAAAAAGTACAAATACTTTTTTACTGTACTTAAGTAAAATTTTTGGGTATCTACTGAGCCCACGAGGGGACATGGGGGATTTTTTTCTTTTTGCGTTCCCTCGCAAAAGTCCTTAAACACTGTTGTGCCTGCCGGTTTATTAACAAACTCACATGTTCACCATTAGCGAGTTAGCCTACAGCTTTAATTCAGCTTCAGAATGAATATATCACACAGCCACGCATGGAATTATGTCATATGCTGATATTTGAACACAGCGTGCAGCCACACRCATCAAAGTCAAATTCACGAACTTATGGTGACACATCCTGTTTTGGTAACCGGATATTTCAAAATAAAAGTCTGATTTAATTCAGCTCATATACAAATCAAACTTTTGCGTGGGAACGCAAAACAATATTGCGAGGTAACGCAAAGGTATTGCGTGGGAACGCAAAAGAAAAAAAATCCCCGTGTCCCCTCGCGTGCTCCGTAGGTATCTGTACTTTACTTGAGTAATTATTTTTCAGCCTACTTTTTTCTTCTACTCCTTCTATTTTCACACAATTATCTGTACTTTTTACTCCTTACATTTTTTAAAAATGCAAGAAGTAGAAAGTTGAAACTTTTATTTAATTTTTTCTTGTTTTCATTCCAGCTTGTTATTGTATAAAAATAAATACTATCCATATAAATTGTGCCTCCTATGTAGAGTAAATTTAATTGTGATTGAATGAGAAATATAAATATGTAAAATTCTGATACTGTATTAGTTTGTACACAAATTATGTCACACTCCAGCAGGACATAATCATTAAAAAAAATGAAGTATTTATATTTCATGAATTATCTTATTGTATTTAGCTGCAGCTCTAAGATAGATTTTCATTTTGGGGAAAAGGTTTGAACAGCCTTGATATATGTTTATAAACTGAAACAGCTGGACTAGTGCATCCTAAATTTAACATAAATTAATTATTTTAATACRATATAGTCATTTCTGCATCTTGTGGGGAGGTCACCTCCTCATAAATGTCGTTACAGAAAATCTAACTGCTCATTTTAAATCATTACTTTTAAGTAAAGTATTAAATACAAAAAATATCAGATACTTTAAGACTTTTACTCAAGTAATATACCTAAAGGAGACTTAAATTTTTTACCAAAGTAATTCTTTGTAAGATACTTGTACTTTTACTCAGGTATCACTATGTGGTACTTTATACCACACTGACTGTTGTGGGTTTTGGKTTACACCAAAACTGGGACTAAGAAAAACCCTTTTAGACAGATCAAACTTACCCCGTCAGCTGCTTCTTACCCTCACTGTTTATTTACCAACCTTCCAAAGTGAACAAGGTCAACACAGATAAAAGTCTAAACATTTCACTCTTTGTTGAGACTAAACYGTTTTTCTCTCCTCCAAAGCCTTGTTTCTGGTGGACAACTTCCACGAGGTGTACCTGTGGCAGGGCTGGTGGCCTCAAGACAGCGAGTCCACCGGGTCGGCTCGCATCCGCTGGGATGCCGACAGGAAGTGTGCCATGGAGACCGTGCTGCAGTACTGCAAGGGTGAGGGGGAGGCGGATCGGATCTGATAACTGCTGCTGCTACAGTCCACCCGTGTAGAAATAAAACACCAGAGAAAGGAAAAATAAATAAATAAATAAATAAATAAACGAGCACCTAGAAGGTTTGAAACTTGAGTTTGTTAATAAGAAAGCTAAAATTTTGTTGGTGTTTTACTTATTAAATATTATCATAATGTATGTGACTGAATTGTTTTGATTGACTAAAAATTAGATTTTTAAATTAAGATTATGTTTTTTTGATTTTCCCAAAAAATACCAGTGAATCCTAATGCATTTGTCTTTGCTTGAAGTCCCTTTTTTTTTTTTAGCGTTTTAGAGCATATTAATGGGAAATGAGGGGTCAAAGCTTTATTGAAATTATACATTTGGCAGATAAATGTAACGGTTAACTTTGGTTCTCTTTTAAAATGTTGACTTTTTATTTTTCCCGCAGAGAAAAACGAGAAGAAACCACAGAAGTCATATTTAATCCACGCCGGTCTGGAGCCGCTCACCTTCACCAACATGTTCCCCTGCTGGGAGCACCGAGAGGACGTGGCTGAAATCACAGAGAAAGTCAGTTAAAGCAACTTTTATCTGCGGACAGTATACAGTTTTATCCTTAGTTGTCTATTCCTTATTTAGCACTCTATTGTCAGGGGTAAATGAGAGCTAGACTCTTTTTTTTTTTGCAAAGGGTGGCGCCTGGGGTGGCCAATCAGGTGCCAGGGTTGGCGCTTGGCACCCCGGCCACCCCTCTGGCTCCGCCCTTGTTCACCCTATTTCATGTTGACACTATTTGTGTGCTGTGGCTGCAGGAGGCGGAGGTGTGTAACCAGATCATCCTGGTGGAGGACGTGTTGGCCCGACTCTGTCAGAACACCTACCCTCTGGCTGAGCTTCAGGCCCGGCCGCTCCCCGAGGGGGTGGACCCGCTCCGCCTGGAGATCTACCTGTCCGACCAGGACTTTGAGGTTCGTTAACAAAGGGAACCACTTCACCCAAAAACTAATTACTTATTAGATTTATTTGTACCCAAGCAGAATAAACAAATCATGTTTCTCTACAGTGGCCAGGAGAGATTTTAAAAGTGAACGAAGTTGTTAGAAATAAAATCTAATTAAAGTGACTAAAAGTGCATAAAGTTTAGTTTTTTGTTTACTAATTCTTGTAGCTTGCTAAAGATATTTAATTGACTCAATTTAAAAATAAGAGTTTAGCTGTTGATCTTTTAAAAAATCATCATGTACAGAAAGTAGAGTTGTGTAAATTGAGAGCTTAGTTTTTATGATTTCARCTGAAACTTCATTATAATAAAAAGAGAAAAACAAACGGACTGATTTAAAACAACTGCAAGACCAGGGTTTAGTTTGCATCTTGTCAACACAATCTGTAATAATTAGAGAAATGATATTTTCTGTGAAGTGTAAAAGAAAAACAGAACAGAAGCTAAAATAAGCTATACACACGCTAAAACAGTGGCAAGAAATGGTAAAACAGGTGCTAAAGATGAAATTTGCAAAACGGTAGCTAATATTACCAAAACAAATGCCAAAATAAGCAAACCGGTAAATTTAGTAACACAGATTAAAAAAAGACAAAATCAGCTAAACTAAAAGCTAAAGGCTGTAAAATAGTAGCTAAAATACGCAAGTAGTAAAAACTGGAAGTAGCTAAATGGTAGCTAAAAGCAAAATGGAGCTAAAACAAATGCCAAAATAAGCTAAACCATTGTTAAAATTAGCAAAATAGATTTTAGTGCTAAAATCAACAAGATTGTAGCTAAAATACGGGAGTACCAAAAGAGTAGCAAAAGCCTTAAAGTAATACAACTGGAATTAAAGCTGGAATTAGCTAAATGGTAGCTAAAGGCTAAAGGTTTACAGCTAAAACAAATGCTAAAATAAGCAAAACACAGAATTTAACCCTAAAATCAATCAGACTGTAGCTAAAAGCTAAAAGTAGTACAGGCAAATTGATAACTCAAAGCTAAAATTAGCAAAATTGTAGCTAAAATTAGCATGGAAGTAGCTCATGAAGGAAGCAGATTTAAAAGAGAGCAATAAAATTAGTGAAAGAACTGCAGTTTTTCAATGTTAAATGTGATTTTAAATAAAATTTAATATTTTGAAATGCGTAGAAAAAGAAAGACGTAGATTTGAGCCACACAAACTGTAAACAGCTAAACAACTGAGACACAAAATGACCGTTTTTAGATGTGATCTAGATTATTGTTAAATCKCTCTGACTCAACCAAACTCTCACTTCACAGACTGAGTTGTAGGTGGACGGAGGTAAGAAGAGATCATGTGATTCTTCAGAAATGGGGATTTGTTTTTTCTGCATGTCGGCACTCTTCCYGTTCTCTTCATAGATTTAAAGAAAACAAACTCTCCTGATTCTTGTGTTTGAAAAGCTGCGCTCGGCTGCACAAATACATCTGAGAGGACCGTCCTGATCCTAACGCTGTTAGATGGTCATTTATTTCTGCTTCACTTCCTGTAAACTGAGTTTCTCCACAGTATGTAAATACAAAACGACACATGAACCAAACTAAAAACCTCATCTCTACAAGGACCTACACTCACACCTGTTTCTGTGCACGCWGGGCAGCCCATTCAAATATCAATCAATAGACTTGTTTTTCCAGTTTTCCTGACACAGTTCGTCTCCAACCCAACCTATATTTGATCAAACCTGTGACCCACCAGCTGAATTACCAAAACAGCTAAAAATAATTGTGAAACTGTTWTTCCTCCTGGTAGGTTTGTGTTTTCAAATACAGAAATCAGACGCAATCTGTGATATGCTGAGATTTATTTGTGCAGCTGTAGCTCATCTCTCACTTCTCAGCACCTCTGCAGTTCTTCTTTTTACRCAAACACTGTTTCTACCTGAGATTCTTTCCTCTCCGATTAAAATACAAATAAATAAAAAAGCATGTTAGTGATTCACCTTCAGTGCACCACAGTCTGACTCACTATCTGTATGTGGAGCACGAAACAAAGGCATGAAAACACTGATGGTTTGYTGACGTGTTGCTTTTCTGCAGTGTCCCACAAAGCACTAAATATCATGATGTGTGTGTGTTCGTACACTGGAGCTCAGGTACACAACCAACCTGCACCAACCTCACAACACACCATCACAAAAATAACAAATATAACACAACACACCATCACAAAAATAACTAATATAACACAACACACCATCACAAAAATAACTAATATAACACAACACACCATCACAAAAATAACTAATATAACACAACACACCATCACAAAAATAACTAATATAACACAACACACCATCACAAAAATAACTAATATAACACAACACACCATCACAAAAATAACTAATATAACACAACACACCATCACAAAAATAACTAATATAACACAACACACCATCACAAAAATAACTAAT